GACCGAAAAGTTAGTCGGGGGCATGGCGGGTGTGCAGAGCATAGCGGCCTCGGTCTTTGGAACCAGAGAGTTGCCCAAACAGGAATTGGCTGAGTTTATCGCCACAGGCAAGGGCTCCAGTCCAGACTGTTTGTGACCGCAATCGGACAGCGTTGGCGGCATGAAACTCGGATTCATCATAACGGACAACATTGAAGTGATTTCGAAGACGAAGGACGGACGAATGGATGAATGCTTAACAACGGAACGAATCGAGGGCTCTCACGCGATTCGACAGCAGCAAGACGAAACAATCTGCGGGCGATGAGGGATACAAGAGAAACAGCGCCTCGCTAACGGTTAAACAGTAATGGTAAGGGCGGGAGTGGCAGAGGCGGCGAACTTTACATCTTCTGTCTACCACATGCCATTAATTAAACACACATGACATGGTATGGTTGGCGTTCCCCACCGAGCTAACGAACGAACGAGCAGACGTACGAACGAACGAACATAAGCAGCAGCAAGTCGTCGTCGTCGTCAGTCGTCGACTGCCGTCTCTGGCCGGTGGTGAATCGGTCAGTCATACTGTAAGTGGCGGCTTCTTTTGTAGTCTGTCAGGTGATCATTAAATTGCACTGGCGATACGGTTTGTAACTGAAACAAGCAAACACCTTCTTCTTTGACAAAGCGTTAGTGGTTGTAGTCGTCGGCGGCGACAACAATGACGGTGTTGGTGACGACGATGACAGCAGAATTGTGGCTAGGTAGCAGTGTGGAGGTGGTGAGCGGCCGATGGTTCGTCAGCGGCGGCGCGATTACTATATAAGCAGCGTTTGAGTTCACCGGGCACACAACAACACGACGGTTATGCACCACAACGCACATGCATGCGATGGAAATGAACAACGTGATATATAGAGCAATAAGTGCCAAGGAAACAGAAGAGCTATTTACATCGCTGGAGGGACAATCGCATTCGCGTTCGACCGGGCTACCGCAGCGCCGACTAGCAGCGACTTCAGACAACGCGCCAAACTTTCGGAAGGTGGTAGTGGCGGCGGTGGTGGTTTTTCCTGCTTCCTAATGGGAGACGGTCGTCGTCATCATCATCGCAACATTCGAATACGCTTTGTGAATGCATGACAAAATTTTTAAACACTCAATGAATAACGATGCTAAACTGCGGGCCGTTTATCTATCAGCGGCCCGATGCAGATGAAAGTTTTTCCCTTTGATGTCGCCGCCGCGCATAGTTTCGACTAATTATTTTCGTCCTACACCCACAGCATCAGGCACCGGCACTGGCCAACTCCGGCTTCGACAAATTTACAGATTTGTTGGCACATTTTCCTGCAGACCCCGCGGCTTTATTCATTGCTAAATTCCTAAACAGTCAGCCTATTATGGCTTCAGAAAAAGCAATAACAATTTCAACGTCGATATTCGACCAACATGACGTGGGTGACATTTATTGTTGGCGAAAAAAAGGTGACAGCCTTTTCAGGTAAAGTTGCCGCTCGTCGTCGCTTCTGTCCGGGCGCAGCCGGCCAGCAGCCACTACTTCAACGCGCGGAGGTCACCTTATTTCCTGTTCAAGAACAAGCATCACAGGAGAGGTTCCAGGAGATCAAATCGAAGACGTCGTGGAAGTTTCGGTTGGCTCAAAACTTGACCCCTGGCATGAGATCACGTAAGGAAGCGATTTTGTTGTTAGAGTGAATATGAACCATCAGCTTAAATCGTAATCTCCATGATCAGTAAGTAGAGAACGCTTGTGTGACTGTACGTGTACGTACTTCGGAAGCGTCTCAGTTAGATGATTCATTTCGGCGAAGTGCACTTTTGTACGTGAGCGGTGGCAGCGATCCGTTCGTGCACCAAAGTCAGAAAATATATGAGATCCATCTGCGTTAACCGCCCATCACAAATAACGAATCGTCAAATTTCTAAAAAGATGTCTGCTTTTTAGGACGTTCAAAGACCGCGCGCGTGCTTCCTCACATCTGAGTTCAGACCGTCGTTTTTCTTGCGCCAAATTCATGGGAGCAGACCTACCGGCAGACGGTGAAGGAACAACCGACCCGGGGCACAGCACTAAAATCCGTCCTTCGCGTTCCAGGGTCGCAGGTGCGCACGCACCCGTGTTGGCCAGTCGTGTTTTTGCCGCCTCGGCTGCAGCCGGCGAATTCAATGAACTCAACTTACGCCATTAACATCGAGAAAAGACCGTTCACCGAAGCACTTGACCTCGTATCAACAGGCGCGTGCTATCTGGTCGTCAAAAAGAGCAGTCCTTCGTAAAAATGGTACAGGATAAAGCGACTTGTGGTCGCACCTACTTCGCAGTCTGCCATCGTCCTTCTCCAGTCACCCAA